TTTGCTCATCAGTTTAATGATTGCATTCTGATGATAGCAATTCTATTCTGGAACTTAAATAATAACGTTGTCTATCAGGGCCTTCTCCTCCTCTGGTTCAATGATTTATATTAAGGTTTTCTATATCAGTCAGCTCATCATGGCTGACGTAGACAGAAACTTTTATCTCACAAGTATCTCTTATTCTCTAACTCCTTTTTCTCCCTCTTGTCATATTGTTCACTATGTCTCTCTCTTTTGTCCTCATCTTCCTTTTTTTATTTTAATTAAATTTCCTCATATTCTTCTTAATCGCCCTCTATTTCGCCTTTTTTTCCATTGCTTTCTTTTCTTTATTGTTATTCACTCTTTTTCTTTAATGCTCTTTCAGTTTTAACTCTTTCTCTCTCTCTCTCTCTCTCTTACTTTTCCAACATTTTCTTTCTCCCGTTTCATCACCATTCACTCTCTCTCTCTCGTTTTCTCATCATTTTTTCTCATTGTCACTTTCTCACTCTTTTTCTCTTTCTCATCATTTTATTTCTTTCTCTCTTTCTCTCTCTCATTTTCTTACCAGTTTTCTCTCATGTTCTTGCTGTTTATCTCTGTCTCTCTCTCACGTTCTGTCCAGTTATCTCTTTCTCACTTTCTTATCAGTATCTCTCTCTCACTTTCTCGATTGTTTTCTCTCTCACTTTCTCACCAGTTTTTTTTCTCTCTCTCTCTCTCTCTCCTTTTCACCATTCTCTACTACTTTCTCACCCTTTTTCACTCTCTCAACATTCTCTGTTATATTTCCTTACCATTCATTCTCTCTTACTATTTCATCATTTTTCTCTTTCTCACTAGCTTTCTTTCACTCTCTCTTCACTTTCTCTATTTTTTTCACCATTTTTTGCTCTCACTATTCTCTTTCTTTCACTTTTTCTCTCCCTTTCTTGCTCTCCTTATTTTTTTCTCTTCTTCATTATCATGAAACTTTTTCTCTCCTACTCGTTTTATCCTCTCCTTTCTATGTATGTTTTTCCTTCTCTTTCCTTTCATTCTCTCCTTTTTCCTCAATTTTCTTGCTCTTCTTCTCTAATGCTTATTTTTATCTTCATCCTCTTCCCCACTCTCTTTTTCTCAACATTGTCTCTTCTTCTTTCTCTTTCTGTTTTATCTTCTTTTTCCCACTCTTTTCTTTCCTGCTCTCTTTACCTTCTGCTTTCTTCTTTTCAGTCACTTTCTTTTTTTGTCTCTTTTCATCAAAATAGTTTTTATGATCCATCCTCTCCTTGTCTTTTACATTATTCCATATACAATTTATATCCTCTCTTTTCTTTGTCTCTTCCTTTTCTTTTTCACACTCCTCCTCTTAATCATTCACTTTATTCTCTTTCTCTCTCATAAAAGTCCTCCATTCTCTTATTGTCTTTCTTTCATTTTCCTCCTTTTATTTTCTACTTTTCATGTTGTCTCTCTTTTTCTTGACTTGTTAAACATTGACTAGAAATATCTAAGGCTTGTCAAGGGCAAAACTGGTGAAACCTGGGTCAAGAAGATTGTACAAATCTGACATCTGTGAAGAACTAGTTTGCCTAAATAACCATATGAAAGGATTTAAAGTTCAACTGTTTACACAAATGGAAAATATGCAACTGTCTCACCCACTGAGCAACACCCAATACATGTTTCTGTTTCAAAAGAATTTTATTTTAGATATGTTTAAATATATTTGGTTTTGTGTGCATTGATAGATTACCTACATTTATTTGTCTTTTAAAAGGCTCATTGTAGAGAATAGGAAAGGAAGATTGTGTTGCTTCAGTCTTCCAGGTGAAAAGAGCTAAAGATACAGAGTTTAAAATACTGGATTTTATCTGGATTTAAACACTGATCAATAGCACTTCTGTCAAATTTGCAACTATTTCAACCATCAAATTGGCTTGTTTGGATGATATTTTACTCCTGTTTGTTCTCTCTTTTTCTTCCACCCAGTCTCTCCTCTCCCTATTACTTCAATTTGCATCTCTCTTTCTCTTTCTTTGTACTACTTATTTATTTTTTTATCTTATTCATTCCAACTCTCACTTTCTGCTTTTCTTTTTCATTTTTCTTTTGCTTTCTTTCCTGGTTTTTACAGGCTTTCTTTCTTTTTTCTTTTGGATTTTTCTCTTGGCTTTTTCTCACTTTCTCTATCTGTTTTTTTTTTTTCTTGCTTTCTCTACCTTTTGGTTTTCTCTTGTTTTCTCTTTTGTTTTCCCTCATTTTCTCTTCAGGTTTCCTCTTGTTTCTTTTCCTCTTTTAGTTTTCTCTCACTTTCTCTTCCTCTTTAGGTTTTCTCTCACTTTCTCTTCCTCTTTAGGTTTTCTCTCACTATCTCCTCCTCTTTAGGTTTTCTCTCACTATCTCCTCCTCTTTAGGTTTTCTCTCACTATCTCCCCCTCTTTAGGTTTTCTCTCACTCCCCTCTCACTAGGTTTTCTTCACTATCTGCCCCCTCTTAGGTTTTCTCACTATTTCCTCCATTTGGTTTTAGGTTCTTCTTCACTTTCTCTTTTGGTCAGTTTTCTCATTTTCTCCTTTAGGATTTCTCTTTCTCTCCCTCTTTTTTTCTGATCTCCCCCTTTTCAGTTTTCAAAAAAAAAAGAATCTCGCTTTAGTTTTTTTCTCTCGTTTCTTTTCTTTCTCGCTTTCCAGTTTTCTCTAAAATTTTCAGTTTTCTCTCTTGGAGAATCTTTTCTCAAACATCTTTCAGTTTTCTCCCACCAACTCTTTTTTCTCTCTTTCTTTTCAATTTTCTCTCTTTCTTTAAAAAGGTTCTCTGCTTTCTCTTTCAATTTTCTCTTTTCTCTTTCAATTTTCTCGCTTTTCAAACTTTCTAAATCATTCAATTTTTCTAAAGTTTTTCGCTTTCTTTTCAAAATTTCTCGCTTTTCTTTTCAAACTCTTTCTATTTCACTCCTCTAAAAAATCTTTCGTTTTCTCAAAGTTTTCTCTTTTCTTTTTCAGTTTTACATAAATACATAGACCTTACTTCCATCTCTGTCCTATCATATCCCAAATCCCCACTCTGTTTTATCAATTAACCAAAATCACTAACCAACTCTTTACACCATACATACCTAATAAGTACAGCATTAAATCAACTCTCAAACTAATCCAAATCTTAAAAACACAAAAACGTAATAATGAAACCATAGCCTCACTTGATATTGAATGTTTATTTAACAATGTCCCAGTTAGAGAAATGATTGATATAATTATAAAGAATATCTACAACAATTCATCTCTCCTTCGACTAAAAATTAAATGTAATATATTTATTTAAACTAATTTTGACTTGTACTACTGAGGTTTCCTTTTATGATCACCAAAATAATATATACGTGCAATGTAATGGGGTGTCCATGGGTTCAGTACTGGGACCAATATTTTGTAACTTCTTCATGGCTAACCTTGAAAATAAGATATTTAGTACCACTAAAAAATCCTCCATCTACCAAAGATATATAGATGATATTCTCATCTTAGCTAAAAACATAGATGAAATACAAAAAAACTTCCAAAAATCTCCATTCTTAAGTTCACATATGAACTTAACAATAACAGCAGAATTCTTTTTTTTGATATATTGATAGAAACCAATAATAATACATTTACTACCTCCTCCATATAAAAAAACTAATTAGCATAAACACGTGCACTCTCAACTATAAAAGTGAATGTCCTATTACAAAACAGCGATTATACAAAATTTAATGAACTGTGCAAAAGTTAACTTTTTCATGAAAACAATTTTCTTCATGGAATTAAAAAAACATTAAACAAGCTCTCATTAATAATGACTTTCCTAATTACATAAACAAATCTTATGAGCTATTAGAAATATTAACATAAATCAAAAAGAACATAATGTTTCCTCAAATAACCCTAAACATATCAACCTAGTATACCACAATCAAATACTTTCTAACTACAAACAAGATGAAAAATCCTAAAAACTTATAAGTATTAATATAACTACCACTGATCCCAATAAAAAATAAAACTAATTATATACTATACTAAATTTAAAACAACCAACTTAATCATCCACAATAACTTTTCTTTATCAACTAATGTTTTTCAAAAGACCAACATTGTATATCAATTTAAATGTCTTTTGGGAGATTTTATCTCTGATAAAAAAGTAAATATATATGTTGGTTTCACAATGACAACATTATCAAGAAGGCTTACATTACACATGTTGGATTCACTTTCTATTGTACAAAATTTAAAAGAATATTCCTGTCCACATTCACATTTTAGAGAAATATTAATTGACAATACAAGAATACTCCACCATGAAAATAAAAACAAAAACTTCAAATACTTGAAGCACACTATATAAAAAAAATGAAACGAACACTAAATAAGATTAATTATGAGGATACCAACAATGCTTAAAAATACCTGTAAAAACAATGTTTTTGGTTGCTCAAATTGTAAAAAAAAATTTTTTTTAATTGCAAGCTGAGTATTTTAAAACATTAATAATAAAAAAAATATAAATTATGTTACCTTCTTACATATTTTTAACAATTAATTTTTAAATTGACTGTAATGAAGCATGTTTCATGTGCATTTACAAAAAATTCATGACTATTATTTACATTCATTTTTTGTCTTAGCAATTCACTCCTGAAGATGATTTTGGACATGACAGAAACTACTTGGGAAAATAAAAGAAATAACCAAAATTATGGTGTCTTTCTTAATCCATTTAATAACAACAGTAAGAAATTGATCGATGGATTTGAGAGAATTAGCATAAAAACAAACAGACATAATATGTCTAGATTATTCAACTAAACATGCTTGAATATATATATATATATATATATATATATATATTCACAAAGAAAGAGCAAATGAAAAAATATTCAACGCATTAGTGGATAGAAAAATATCCAAACTTTATTATTTTAAGGTTACGATTTGAAAATTTCAGTACACAAAATGACTTTTCTTGTAATAAAAATTTTAATTGTTAACACAAATTATAACAAATCAAAATTTATATAAAATCTGAAAAAAAAAAAACACAAGCATTTAAACAAGATTGAAAAAAATTTTCATTTATTTTAATAACTTTGAACCTTTTCCTCTTAGTAATTCATTTCTCTCTTTTAGAATTTGTTTTATTAAATTTAAAAAAATCTATTTTTTTTGAATAACCTTTTATATATATATATATAAATATATATATATATATATATATATATAATTGATATAATTGAAATGAAAACTTATTTATGATTTTTCATTTTATTCTGGGAACATATATATATATATATATATATATATATGAAGAAAAAACAGAAATAACCTTTTTATATATATATATATATATATATATATATATATATATATATATATATATACATAGGTGATTTTTGTAACTCCTTTTTTCATGTATGATGGTTCACATAAATTATATATTATATATATATATATATATACATTTATTAATCCTTTCAAAAAAGACTACTAAATGTATAGTCGACGTTAATATATTAATTTATATATAAGTTTATATTATATATAAAACCAATTTGATTAACGAATTTTTGTTTGTTTTTTTTTTATTTTTTGAAATTCATACTAAATAATTCTATAGATATATTTGCTTATATGTATATATATATATATATATATATATATATATATATAATTTATTATAATTTTTTGATATAGATCTATATGAAAAAATTATAATAAATAATTATTGCTCTGCTATCAGTATTGAGCCCTCTTTTGAATTAATGCTGTGTACGTTAGAATATATATATTATTTTCATTCTCATTACATTCAGAGATATATATATATATATATATATATAATTACTAAATCCAGCTTAGTGTGGCTAAAAGCCAAATTAGAAGGCCTTGTACATTAAAAGATAGTGCTATTTTCTTTTTCTTAAATCTTTTAAGATCATTTAATATGTGAAAATTGAAAATGGTTGAGTTGTTTATATATATATATATATATATATATATATATAAGCAATGATTTTCAATCTGTACAAGGTACAAATGAGACATTCGTGTTAGAGGGTTACTGAGTAAGAGGCACAGTTTAAGTGTATAAGGTAATGGTCAACCCTAGACTTGAACAAGATTGTAGTGGTCAGGGAATATTCTTCTGGTGTCAGTGTTCAAGCCCAAGTAAAATGCCAGTTTTTTTCCCCAAATGTTTGTGAACAAAGCAGACTGGTATTCTCCATTTGAAAAATGCAACTAGTACAAATTACCCTTAAAAGAATTTTCCTCATTTGGCTTTGAACCAAACTAAGCAAAGCTAAACATAGTATATTTCCAGGAAGCTATCTACTTATATATATATATATATATATAAGCAATATATTTCATCATTAATTATGAGATTAATTTAAATTTTTAGTGCTATGTAGTTATCTGATATTTTAAACATAGCTTCAGTTTTTCAGATTTTTCACTTTCGTTTCTTTTGTATATTTCCTTATTTATCATCATTACATTTCAGTTTGTTCTCGATTTTTTTTCTCTGTCATTTTTTGATTCTTCTCTCCCCCCCCCCCGCCTCTCTCATTCATTCTTGATTTCCATTCCCTCCCTCTTGTTCTTGGTTGCCTCTAATTCTTTGTCTCACACGCTTTTGGTTTTCTCTTTGTTGGCTTTTTCTCATTTTCTCTTTCTCATTTGGCTTTTTCACTGCTTTATCTGTCTTTCAGCTTTTTCACATCTTTCATTCTTTCTCTCTCTCTCTCTCCTTCCTACTTCACATGCTTCCCTTTCCTCTAATTCACTCACTTTTATTCATTGTTCGTTCTCTTTCTGTTGTTTTTGTGTCCAACACACTTGTTTCTAATTCCTCTTTCCATTTGTTCTTTTCTCTCATTTTGGATTGATCTTTCTTTCATCCCCTTTTATCTTATTTCTTTTCTTTTCTGATATAGTTTTTTTTCTCTCTCTTTTATGGTTTTCTTTTCTCTCTCAATCCCTGTTACCATTCTTCTCTCTCTCACCCCCGCTTTACCATTCTTCTCTCTCTCTCACCCCCTCTACACCATTCTTCTCTCTCTCTTATATGGTTTACCATTCTTCATCCTCTCACCCCCCCTTTAAAATTCTTCCCGGTCAGTCACCCCCTTTAACTCTCTCTCTCACCCCTGGTTACCATTCTTCTCTCTCTCTCTCTCAGTTTTTCTCTTCTTCTCTTTCTCCTTTATCTTTGCCATATAAAACTTTCTCTCCCCCTTTTCCATTCTTATCTTTCTTACCCCCACTTTACATTTTCTCTCTCTCTCCCCCCTTTTCTCTCTCTTTTCTCTCTCTCTCTACCTTTAATCATTCTTCTCTCTCTCTCCCCTTTTCTTCTCTCTCTCCCCCCCCTTTCATCTTTCTCTCTCTCCCTCTTTTTCTCTTCTTCTCTCTCTCTCTCTCTCTTTACCATTCTTCTCTCTCTCTCCCCCTTTTCTCTCTCTTCTCTCTCTTTCTCCCCTCTCTTTAATAATTCTTCTCTCTCTCTCCCTTTTTCTTTTCTTCTCTCTCTCTCTCTTTCCCCTTTACCATTCTTCTCTCTCTCTTCTTCTCTCTCTCTCCCCTTTTCCATTCTTCTCTCTCTCACCCTTTAAAATTCTTCTCTCTCTCTCCCCCCTTTTCCTCTTCTTCTCTTCTCTCTCTCTCAACCCCTTTTTCTTCTCTCTCCCCCTTTTTCTCTCTCTCTTCTCTCTCAGTCTCTCTCTGTTCCCTTCTCTCTCTCTCTCCCCCCCTTTTCTTTCTTCTCTCCTTCTCTCTCTCTCTCTCCCCCTTCTCTCTCTCTCTCCCCTTTCTCCATTCTTCTCTCTCTCTCTCTCTCCCCTTTTTCTTCTCTCTCTCTCACCCCCCCCAAACCATTCTTCTCTCTCTCTCTCTCCCCCCTTTTGACCATTCTTCTCTCTCTCTCTCTCACCCTTTTTTCATTCTTCTCTCTCTCTCCCCCTTTAACATTTTCTCTCTCTCCCTCTCTCTCACCCCCTTTAACCATTCTTCTCTCTCTCAGCCCCCCCGCTTTTACCATTCTTCTCTCATCTCTCTCTCTTTATTTTAAAATTCTTCTCTCTCTCACCCCCGCTTTATCATTCTTCTCTCTCTCTCCCCCGCTTTACCATTCTTCTCTCTCTCTCGCCCGCTTTACCATTCTTCTCTCTCTCTCGCCCGCTTTACCATTCTTCTCTCTCTCTCTCACCCCCCTTTTCATTCTTCTCTCTCTTTCTCTTTAAAAATGATTTACCATTCTTCTTTTCTCTTCTATTTCCCAGATTTACCATTCTTCTTCTCTCTCTCTTTTTTTTATTTTTCTTCTCTCTTTTGATCCCCCTTTTAAATTTTTTCTCTCTCTCATATCCTTTTTAACCTCCTTCTCTCTTGTCCTCTTTTTACTCTTCTTCTCTCTCTCATATCCTTTTTACCCTTCTCTTTTTCATCCCCTTTTTACCGATTCTCTCTCTCATCCCTTTTTCACTCTTCTTTACTTTCATCCTCTTTTTAACCTTCTTATCTTTCCTATTTTTCATCCCCCTTAACTTTATTCTCTCTTACATCCTCCTTTACCCTTGTTCTCTCTCCCTCTCCCATTGTTCTATCTCTCTCCCTCCTTTCTTTTCATTTTTTTCTCCATCCTTTTCCTTCTTCATTCTCTCTCTCTCTCTATCCTTTTCTTTTCTTCTCATTCTCAGAAGGAGATTGAGGGTAAGATCTCTCTCCCTTCTATTTATCATTTTTTATTCTATTCTAAAGAAAGAAAATGATACATACAAGTCTCTTTGAATAGGGATAGTGAGAGGAGAAAAAAAAAACAAAAGAAAAATTGGGAACAGTGGATTTATGTCCTAGAGATAGTAGAAGGAGAGAAAAGACCTGGCTGGGGGGAGGATAAGAGAGAGAAAAAAAGGGGAAAAGATAATAACAGAGAGAATCGGCTTTAATTTTTTATTTTTTTTGTAGTCTTTTTATTTGCCCATCTTTTTTAGTTCTAAAACTCAATCAAGTGTATCTTTGCATGCGATTTTTGGCTGTTCAATTCTAAGTACACACACACACACACACACACCTATGTGATGTGCAAATGTGTGGTTGGTATTTTTTTACAATGAGGAAGATGGGAAAGAAAGGCTAGCAATCACTCTGATGAAAATCTTGATATATTTCTAATAATCTATGCATAAATTTCTCTGTTTTACAAAGAACTATAAGCAAAACAAAAAATCTAAATCTGACATTCTCCATATATTTTTTTTTCTTTTTGAAAAATTTATTTTGCTTTGTTTCTGTGTAGAAAAAAGATGAATTTTTAATTCCCATAAAAATAAAAAATCTAAGAATCGACCAATTATTTTCTGCTATATTATTGCACCCCATCCTTCTTTATTTTGGTGGTGCTGGTGGTGGGAGGGCATGGTTTGGTGTGGGCAACAATTATGTCCTGTGTGTTAAACAAGTGATAATATTCTTATGAGATATAATTTTTGATATACTTATCATCATCAGTAAAACCAATTCATCATCATCGTCATTATTTTTAACATTTCCAAACTTCCAAAATATTTTTGTTGAATAAGCTCAAACAATATCTGAGAAGACCCTGATTTAAAAAAAAAAAAAAAAAAATAAAAATTCGTATTTTGCAACAAAGTAAAGATTTCTTTAATGAAAATCAATTTCCTAAGTTTTTATGACTTGATTAAATTTGACTCAAATGATTTTGATGTTTTCTTCAGAGAAATAAAATTTTGTCCAGGACACAATATTGGCTATTGATAATACATCTGAAATGTTAATTATTTTTATTTACTTTATAAATCTTGTTTTAATGTTCAACAAAAACTTTTCTGACTTCATTTAAGTCTTATCAATAAAATCTAAGTAAAATATTAGGAACATCTTCAGTAAATGTTAATTCTAATAATATATCAGTATATTTAAAATAAATGTAATGTGCATCTATCTAGGGAGAGAGTGTGGACATAGGAATGAACACAAGATAGTGACTGTCACTAACTGAAACTGAGAGTCAACATACAGTGTTGAATTCTATGGCCACACTGTCTAAAACTGTATCTCTAATATTGAGCACTTTTCCTCTATAGATATAACAAGTTTTAATATATATATATATATATATCAAATATGTGGTGCAGTTCAGTTTACATTACATGAATCATTCATATCTGTTTTTTGTAGGAATGATTCATGTAATATATATATATATATATATATTGGTTGGTGCATAATTATCAGGCGATTTAAAAACAATATTTATTATGAAAAAAGTGACATAAGAATTCAACAATAGCATTTTTAAATGATTATTTTGGAGCATATGATCATTGACATGTATTTTTATAACCTGAAAATAAAATATTTTTATTAAAAAAAGTAAATTCCGCCTAGGTTTAAGGTTTTGCCTAGGATCAGTGTAGTATCTGTGCATCCTAGTAAACATGATACACACTCCCACACACATAATATGTATGTGTGAGTGTCTGCTTTGCCAGAGTGTACATATGCTATATTGATCTTAGGTTATGGAGCAAAACTTTCATCTGAAGCAGAAGGCTATACATAGATTAATCCTACCAGTTGTTATATATATAAATTATTTTACTGCTTAAACATTATTTTTTAATGGATACCCATATTTGAGTAGATGATTTGTTTTTATTTATTTAATAAACAGCAAATTTATCAATTTACATCTACTGGCCAGAATATTTGAGTAATCTTCTAAGAAAAATATGTGTCCTCTAGCAGGAATCCAACATCATTTCTTAGGGGAAATGATCATTAGATCTGATGACACTTGACCTCTCATCCACAAAGAACCTCTTGATCAAACAAAGCCTGAATAGTACTTTTAAAAACATAGCATCTACTCAAATGTGGGTATCCATTAAAAATAACATTTAAGCAATAAATTAAAAATATGTCAGATTAATAAATGAAAAATCCATTCCTAAAAATATAAGGTTTATTTTGGCATCAAGAATTCTTTCAAACATGTTTGGTTGAGTAATATTGAAAAGTTCTGTCTATCAAATTTTTTATTATCTTTTTCAAATTTAGGAATTAGTTGTTTCATTTACTAAAGTTGTAAATTTACTAAAGTTCATATTTACTTTTATTTCATATTTTTTTTTTATCCTCAAGTACTTTCAAATATTGCTACATTCATTTTCATAGATTGTGTTCACTGGTAGCATAAAACTACTAATAAATTGATCAAAAATCTGTCAGATTAATAAATAAAAGAATCCATTATTTCTTTTAGTTTTTAATAAAATAATTGCCATCTATTAAAAAAAAAAAAAGATAAAATGCTGATATATATATATATATATATATATATATATCTTAAAAAAGATAAAACTATATTGAGATTTATATCTATATCTTAAAAAGATAAAATTCTGAGATTTTTATATATATATATATATCTTAAAAAGATAAAATGCTGAGATATATATATATATATATATATATATATATATATATATATATATATATATATATATCTTAAAAAAATAAAATGCTGACTGGAACACTACTGTGGTTTCAACTGCCAAGGTTTTGTCAGGTGGTTTGTAAATACAAGTTTGTTTACAAACCACCTAATGAGACCTTGATGGACAAAACCACAGTAGTTTTCCTGTCAGCACTTTTTTAACGTGTACAGTTTTAACAAATATTTTAGTGTTTGTTTTTTTCAGTTTATATATATATATATATATATATATATGAAGAAATATAGTCTTTAGATGTGCTATATTTATGGGATACAGTCCTCAATATCAGAGATAGAGTATGTGTAAATATAAAAGTGAACATAGAAGTCAACGCTTAGAGCCTGACAGTTGCATCTAGCATAAAACAGACTGTCACCTCTAAGTGTTTACTTCTATGTTCACTTTTATATATATATATATATATATATATATATATTCACCAAAATAACCAAAAACTAAAATATTTGTTACAGTTGTGCAGGCTAAAAAAGTGCTGAATTGCAAGTAGTACAATTTAATATCTTAAAAAGATAAAATGCTGACAGTAAAACTACTGTGGTTTCAACTGACAAGATCTGGTCTGATCTGCTGGTTTGTTTGTTTACAAACCACCTGACAAGACGCTGGTGGTTGAAACCAACCATGGTGTTTTATCTTAGATCAAATATTTTATCTATAAGATATATATATATATATATATATATATATATATTCTGTTTAACAACAATAATGACAACTAGTGCTGATCTATCACATGTAAGCAATTCTTTCTCCATTTAGTAACATTTTTGAGTGGAACTTTTACATTAAAAATGCATGAAGAAAAATTCTCAATAAAATTTGAATAATAAATAAATTTGGGAATAAAATAAATAGGATTTTCTTGGAATTCATCAAATTTTTGTTATTGAAATAATGTCAAGCAAAATGAAAACTAATTTCTATTCTTGTAAACATTTCTTACATT